TGCCCCCTGACGATCCCAGAGTTCTTTGCGCAAACACGGGTATCCGATTACTGGCAACTCATTCATTAGACTATTGGATTATTGCAGACCATAAGAACTTTCCAAAAATTAGATAGCGATTCAGCTTATGACGCAAAACGGATTTTGTGATGTATTTTGCCCTTTAATGATGCAGGCCCTACGGAAACGTCTGAATACTGCAGCTATCGTTGTTGCCATTGACGATTTATGATCTTTACTAAATCGGTGATGATAGTTCTTTCGGCAAAGAAAATGATGATTATTTATGTGTTGTATGATTACTTTTTTGATAGTATAATTTCCGATCCGCAAATCGCTGTCAAGTTTATGGCCAAACAACACAAGTATGAGAGGCTGAAGGACTTTCGTCTCGGAAATGTGTTTCATCAGCTGTTCGGCCACGCAGCTGGTACGGCCAGCGGTGAGGCACACAAACGCATACGCAGTACTTTTGACCGGTGTTACAGTGCAGAGAGCGTGTCACAGTCAGTGGACATGATGGAGCAAGAATGCAAACAGCACTTACGACTGATCTTGGAAGAGAGAAAGGTATCACGGAACGATGGTATAGCTTGAATTGTGGCTGTTTGCTTTTTACCATTGCTTGGCCGACTGGCTGACTGACTGACTGACTGACTGATGACTGACTCACTCACTGACTGACTGAATGATTGACTGATGGATTGATTAACTGACTGACTGACTGACTGACTGACTGACTGACTTACTGACTAGCTGACTCACTGACTGATTGACTGACTGGTTGACTGACATGTGACTGATTGACTGATTGACTGATTGACTGACTGACTGACTGACTGACTGACTGACTGACTGACAGACCGGCTGACTCACTGGCTGACTAACTGATTGACTGACTGAATGAATGACTGACTAACTGACGGAATGACTGACTGATCTACTGATTGATTGTAGATTATACTATTGACTTAATGCTGGTACATGATGCTCCCATGAAATAAATCGGGTTCTTGTTTGCCATAGTTTTAATACCTTTTTTTCCTTCAGGGTGTTTTTACGATGGATGACTTGATTCTGCTGACTTTTAGAATGCTAATGAAGTTCACGTACGGGAGAAATGTTTCTGAAGAGGAGCTACAAGAATTAATTGAGCTAAGAGCATTAGTGGGCACTCTTATCGCAAATACCTTCACAAACCCTTTTTACAAATACTTACCGACCGATACAAACAAGAGATTGGCGGAGTTTGAAAGACGGTGGCTACAGTTCAACAAGTGGTGAGCATCTTCCATATTTTTTGTTCTGAAGCCGTTTATTGCTGTGTGGACAACTTTTGATCTCTTTTCAGCAAATTTAATTCATTCTCATTGTGGTATAGAAGTTACATGGTGATTCTGGTAGATAATATACATGTGATTGAAGATTGAGAGATCGGGTAGAAACTTGCAATGTACTGAAAACCCATTCACGGAAAGTTGCAATCCACCAAGTCGCTGCATACTGTAGATAACAGCGCTAATGATTTAAACAGACGTTACCTTAGGCCGGGTTTGAACGAAAGTCGACAATATTTCCCGCCCAAGTAATTCGTGAGACACTCTTAACAAGTTCTCGACGACAAGGGCATTGACATCGTGTTTTAAGGTCTTTGCCAACTTAGAATATAAAAACCCACTAGTGATTTGCCATGATGTACCTCTATTTTACTATTCCTTCGCTTATCATCCATCGCAAAAAATGATTAAAATATTTGGAGCTGAAGTAACTGGCCTTGTACTTACCTTTGTTTCTCACGTTGTTCCCCTTAGTTTCGAAAAGCGCTTTTTAGAGGGAAAGATGCAAGACACAAACTGTGCTTTTTACAAGATCCAACAAACCCTTGTTAAAAATCCTGGTGCTCTATCACAAGAAGAGGTAATTTATGTCTGATTGTCAATCATTCTAGTATCGTATCCCGGAGACGGGGGAGGGGCACACTTCAGTAAGTCCAGAACTGCTTTCGTAATCTACGTTCGGTCCAATCATTTTACTCCGGACCCGGCAAGTGTGGAATGAACTTGCATACTAGGTTTACATGGCTGTGATCAGTGAGAACTCATGTAATTGAATAGAAACGATTTCAAAGCAACATTAACTGGATTTCAGAGGCATTGTTTTTACGCGCCTTAGTGTTTCCAGATGTGCCCTTAACTAAGCTTGAGAGTGATTCCACCTAAATGACTTGTACTTTTAATTTTGGTTGAATGTCGCCCAGGTCAGGTTAATAAGCTGGGGATTGCATTTGGGAAGCCCTCCTAAGTTAACATGCATCTTAGGCATTGTTTCTTAACAATAGCTATGAGGCCTTTGTGAATCTGGCCCCACCGCAGCTGATCATCAGATCAGCTTGCTGGGAGGTTTTACTTACTTTAGGAGGTTTTTTCATGCCTTAGTTTCAAGAAACTCTGGAGGAAGCCTCCTTGGCTAATGTGGATATCACGTGTGGTGCCACTGCCTGGCTTCTGTTTCACGTGGCTCTTCATCAAGATATTCAAAAAGAACTAACAGATGAGATTACGGACTCAACTTCACGAGTGAGTGCATAACAATCTTAGTACTGCTTAAATTCCCAGATGCCTGGGTTCTGTCTGCGTACGAGCCAAGTGGCCCATCAGGCCGGAGCTTATCCCGGTTTCTGTAGCATGAAGCGACTAGG